ATATATATATATATATCTCTATATATATATATATATATATATATATATATATATATATATATATATATATATATATATATATATATATATATATATATATATATATATATATATATATATATATATATATATATATATATATATATATATATATATATATATATATATATATATATATATATATATATATATATATATATATATATATATATATATATATATATATATATATATATATATATATATATATATATATATATATATATATATATATATATATATATATATATATATATATATATATATATATATATATATATATATATATATATATATATATATATATATATATATATATATATATATATATATATATATATATATATATATATATATATATATATATATATATATATATATATATATATATATATATATATATATATATATATATATATATATATATATATATATATATATATATATATATATATATATATATATATATATATATATATATATATATATATATATATATATATATATATATATATATATATATATATATATATATATATCGCAATATATATTGCAGGGAAAAAACATCGCAATGTCAATTTTTTTCCAATATTGTGCAGCCCTAGTCTAATCTCACAAGTGGTCAAATACATTCAAACAGTCACAAACTGTCACCTACTTCTAAAATACTAAGTTGTTTCAGCGCAAATGTAGGGAAAAAAATACAAACCTATCCATTAGGCTAAATTTTTTTTCTTAAAATGTCAATTCTTAAACATCACAGCACATTGTTGAAGCACACTAGGATTTAAACATTGCAGTTTAAACTAATCACGTTATGGAATATCAGGGGGCACATGAAAAAGTTTATGACCACTTAAGGGTGAGCAAATGTTGAGTACATAAAAATTTTTGGTTTAACTGTCCATTTAATAGCAGGTGTTTCAGGCCGTTATCCAACACCGGACAGAAAGTTGATTCTGTATAGGGCCTGCTATTGTGTGGATGGACAAATAAGAAAGAAAATTTCCACCAATGAGAAAACAGCAGGAAATAGAACTATAAAAAACACTTTCATTTCTCACTTTTTACAAGTCGTAGTGGTCTCAGATGTCGCTGGTGTGAGTTCCCCAATAATTAGGAAAATCCTTTAGCTTATGGTTCTCTTTTCTGTTTTAGTAACTACATTAGTTAAAATGTATGTGGCCAGTTCGATTCTATTAAACTAAATTCTGAAATAAATGTTTAATAAATATGTATGAAGTGTTTATTAAATACTGGATAACATGCTGCAATTTATAAAGATTACATTAACTGTTAAGTAAACTATATGCATGCGTGTTCAATTAAATCTTTGATGATTATGATTGAAATAATAAACAGTTATTTACTACTTTTTACTACACTGTTTATCAAATAAATACTTAAAAATTAAATACTAAAGATATTTGTTAACATTTGTTAACAGAAATAACATAATAGCATTTAAAACTGGAACAGAAACAGAAACTTACATTTTTGCCTCTAAAAGTAGATTAAACAGAAAAATTAAATCTAAATAAGTGCCAAAAAATAACAAGGGAGACTATAGTAAAACAATAATAATAATTATATTAATTCATTCATTCATTCATTTTCTTTTCAGCTTAGTCCCTTTAATCTGGGGTCACAACATCAGAATGAACCTCCAACTTTATCCAGCATGTGTTTTATGCAATGGATGGCCTTCCAGCTGCAACCCATCACTGGGAAACACCCATGAACTCCTATTCACACACATACACTATAGACAATTTAGCTAATTCAATTAACCTATACATGTCTTTGGACTTGTGAGGGAAACTGGAGCATCCGCAAGGAAACCCACGTGAACATGGGGAGAACTTGCAAACTCCACACAGAAATGCCAACTGACCCAGCTGAGGCTACTTATTATATAATTGGTTAATAGTTTAGCTAATACCACTAAGCCAATCACACCAAAATATTAGATCAAAACTAAATTTTTAACAAAAATATTAAACTAAAACTAAAAACTTAAATGAAAAATGTAATAAGCTTAAATTTCACAGAAAATAAAATACATACACAAATCAAACAGAACGAGCTTGAACTGTGTGATGTTGATCTGCAGAGAGGCAGAAGAAAGTCTTACCAGAGTCTCTGATGGCATCTAAAGCTTGCATTCTGTAGAGATAATTATAACAACCTGCACAAACACAAAAACAGATGTATGTTCACTTCTGCCACACTGTTCATAGGGAAAAGCTGAAAGGGTCTTTATTTCCTCTCACCAATTTGGCCCTGATGCCTCAGTCGGTCGTCATCTTTTGAGAGCAGACTTGGTTCATAGCGAACGTCATTCACTTTAGACAAACACAAATCGATCTCTTCTCTCAGGTCCTGTGAGACATGCAGTTTTGCTTCAGTGCATTATAAATTAGTATGCTCAAAATGAATAAAGGTAACATAAATAAATGTACAAACAAAAGATATTAATGTTTATTTTGAATGCCATACCAGCGATGTACTTATTTTCAAACTTTGACCATTTATTACCTTCATTGGAGGATATTTGTTGCAAAGAAAGAAATGATCTATAGGCACAGAAACACACTTACCGGCCACTTTATTAGGTACACTCGATAAACTGCTTATAATCGAAATTATCTTATCAGCCAATCACATGACAGCAACTTGCAAAGATGTGGTCAACATGATCTGCTGAATTCAAACTTTTCATGCGTTCAAGTCATGACTGATAATTCATATTTACGAGTTGAAAAGTTGCTATTAGGAGTGGGAAACTTGACATTTTCTTTAACCTCAGAGTTCAAGAGTTAGATCAGTCTTAATGAAACTCACTGATCTATAATAGAGAATTATATATCTTATTATATATAGATTAGTAGGCAGAATTCATGGATGCAAAGTAAACTCTTGTTGGTTGAGCACTTTGCTGAAAATGTACCTCAAAAAAAAAATCTCATGGTTCGGATCACATTATGTTTTTTAGTTACAGATTTGTTCGTTTTTCGGATCAGCCAAAAAGAAGAGGAGACAAATGCAATTTGCTTTCAATTTTTTATAAAAACAGCACTGCAAGAAATTTTTGGCTTTATATAAAAAAATGAAGAAACAATCATCTTAATAATAATAAATATTTAAAATCCATATTTATTTTTAGTCTCATTTTTAATAAATGATTCAGTTATTTCGTCATAAAACAATGTTTCATTGCTAAGATAGATCATTTTTGAAAAATTATTCAGTGGCATATTTTTGATGGCTGGTTCTCGCCACCTATTGGTTAAATTATGTCATTTCTGCTTACCACTTACATTTTTGAGCATATGACGGTGATTTTTATCTTTACCATAAACATCAGTGGTTTTATCTAAACTATAACCTTTTATCCCAGTACTTCTGTGTTATTTGACTGTTTGTTACTAATAAATAATAAAATAATTAATAAACATATGCAAAGCACCATCATTTATCATTTATGTTGCGTGCGTGTTGAGATTCCAATCTTTTAATGATTAAACATGCAGCTTCCACTGAATGCATTAATGCAGGCTAAACAAGTAGTGACAGAGAAAACACCTGTAACCTAAGAAAGCCACCACATCCTATATAACCTTCCACAACATCTTCCCGTCATCATTACATTTTAACAAGGCTTAAATGCTTTCATACATTGGATTTGAATGACGCAAGAGGCTATCGTTACAAATTTAAGATTAATCTGCAAGTAAAAAAATTTATTCATGCATGGCTCACGTGTGTTCTGAACCGTGGGTTGTGATCCGTACGAATCATGGATCTACCATGATCCATTACACTACTAATACCTGTATATAATAATGTGCCTGCTGGAGTGCATATTAAAGGTTGCACAATATTAAAATATCTGATATTGTGATATTATAGGTTTCTGCAATAAATATAGCGATATGAATACAATTTCAGGTACAGAAATAATAATCTCAATAATCTCAATGAATAATCTCAATGCAATAAATGCTTTTCTTACTTGGCTCCGTCTCATTTCTAGTCCAAATATCTAAAAATGCTTAGATCAAGTAAAAATATTGTTTTGTTTTTTAACTGAAGGATTCAGATTTCTACCTTCCAATCCATCCAAGGATGGATCCTCGTTTATCCTTTTCTCATCAACCAGTTTCCCATAATTTTTATTAAAGATGATTATTAAATATTGAATAAAGTTAACACATTGCATAATATAAGAATATTCAGTGCATTTGCCTGTCTCTTTGTAACTATTTTCAGGAGCCACCAAACTAGGTCAAAGGTCACGGAGACCTTGAGTGGAACTGAAGGGCTGAGGACTGGAAACAACTGTTTCTATTGTTATTTCTTTTAGTTAATACAATCTTAAATGGCTAGTGATTTTGCTATTTTTACGGTTTATTCTTTTAAAGTGATTCTACTTTTTATTCAAAACAGACTTTGTGTAGTAAGGATATAACTGCCTGAATGTAGATTATACCGGTTTTTAACCGGATTTGAAAGAGTGGGCTGAGAGTACACTGAGCCTTGGGTAAGAAACAGATTGTACTTTAAGTGTGTGTGTTCTTTTTGATTGTGGATCCGTTTCACAGGTCTGGAGTCAGCTCTAAAAAGTCTAGTGGAGAGATTTCAAACTCAATTCCAGGAGGGCCGCAGCCCTGCACAGTTTAGTTCCAACCCTGCTCCAACACCTTACCAGTAGATTTCAAACAAGCCTGAAGGACTCAATTAGTTTGATCAAGTATGTTTAATTAGTGTTGGAACTAAACTGTGCAGGGCTGCGGCCGTCCAGGAATTGAGTTTGACATACCTGGTCTAGTGGATGTCTGACATTTACATGCTTGAGATATTGTTCAGAATTGTACGCACGCACACACAAGGAAATTTCCTAGTCTATCGAAGTTTTACCCAATCAGGTTAGAACACCTTTATGTAAGACGCAGTTAATGATGTTATGTGAGAATAAAACTGTTATTGATTGGTGATTGTAAGCAGAATGGCCTAGAAACTCATAGCGAGTGTTGAAGCTGGCTTCTGCTGATGAAACTGCAAATTATCTTCAGTAAACTTGATTTATTTATTTAAATCTCTGACTCCGGCTCTCCTTCATCTGACAGACTGCACATGCTTTGGGTTAAAACTGTAAATAATCCCTACATAACTTAAGAAAAAATAAGTCAAAAGTAAAAGTTTTTAATTAAAACAAGCGCCAGTGGGGTAAGTAAAATAATGTTGTTTTCACTTTATTTTGCATAAATCATTAAATCATAATTTATAGCATAACTATTATTCAGACTCAACATTGCAAGTCTTGTGATGAGACTACTGCGGGTGCGCACATTGCGATATTGATGCTGAAATGATACATTGTGCAGTCGTAGTGCATGCATATAAAAATAAACTGCTTTTGATGTCAGGAGGAGCTGTTCATACCTTTGGTGCATTGTGACCCAGCGGGACATGTGGTCCTCTGCGAGACTTCATAGCGAAGCGCATAATCTGCCTTTTCATAAAGATGAACAGCAGCACAAACACCTGCATATTGACAGAAGGCTTTAATCAACACATTTGAAATGCCAGACACAGACATCATAAGCTCTGCTTTATCTGAGCTGGTATTTTAAGCAGATAGAGGGACAGTATTTGCAAGCATGACAGTAGTTCCCATTTACAGCTATATGAAAAAATGGGGAAACTAGGGCTGTGCGATTTAAAGAAAAAAAATTGAATTGCAATTTTTTTGACAGATATTGCGATTTCCATTTGATTTGCGATTTAATTTTGTAGTCAAGCTTCAGCTCAATAATCTGTATCATAGCTTCTTACTGCTAAAATGCAGTGAGTGTAAGTTAAACAAGTAATCGAAAAAATATTAACGTAAACATTTATTCAAATTTGATTTTAAATATTCAGAAATGAAACCCTCATATTTCTCTACAGGAAACAGTAAACACAAATAAAATGACCTTACCTTTCTGTAAACAAGTGCAACTCAAATTAGGGAGACAGTGTAGCTTATTATAAAAACAAAATAATAATAATTATAAAAACACAGAACACTCCGCAAACTAACATGGCTGAAAGAACTCTAAAATTGTACTTTGCTGTTGCTAGCTACTAGATTGAGTGTCACTGGCAATACTTTCAGTTGACTTTTTAGCAAGACGCTCACTCAATTGGCTAGTAAGACTATTACACATAGACGGCAGTCATGCATTTGCTCTGGGCAGGGGAAATTAAATAATACAAATATATTTCATATCGCAGCCGCTTGTGATCATCTAATCGCAACTTTTTAAATCTTTTTTGCAATTCGATTAATCGCACAGCCCTAGAGGAAACCACTTGAAAAATGTTCTGTTCTCTGTATTTAATGGATTTGTTAAATATGGGTTTGATTAAAATGCCATTACTGTTTTTTTCTTTCTAAAAAAATCTAAATTAACAAAAAATAATATTTCATGATAATTCTTTCCTGTTTCATGTAAAAATATAATTTAGAGAATTTTTTTAAAAACTACAACTATTGTTTTCACTTGAAATTACAAAAATATGGGTTTTTCCACCAAATATTGATTTAAACAGCAAAATATTTGGATATCGATTTCTAAAACCAAGCAAACATATTTGAAAACATAGCACTAGTTTTATTAGTTTGATAATTGCCAATTATAGGTAAGAAACGCTTTAAATAATGAAGGAAAATAAGAAATAATTGAAAAAAAAGACATTTACAGAAGAAAACAAAACAAAAGTTACTCAAATAAATAACCACTTAGAATTTAAAGAAACTGAGAATCTTCAAGCTGCCTCTTGATTTTTTATAGCTGCTTGTCAGTTTTTAAATGGGAAACTCAGAATACTTACAAAATTTAAACTTGACTTCACAAGGAAAAATATTGTTGTTATTGTAGTTAAAGCACAGTTATTGAAGTTAAACCACGGTAACCACCACAAATCAGCCATGCTTTGTTATACTGGTCATAATTTACCATAGTATTTTGACTAAAACTGTAGTTATATAAATGTTAATCAATGCAACGTTCAATGCAACGTTCACTATACTTTACTATAGTATAGTTACTTTACTATACTATACTAAGGTTGGTTTCATATTCACACTTTCAGAATTTGTCTTTAATAATATTATTTTAGAAAAGTATTCTTTGCTAATGGTAAACAGTGAACTCATCTTAGCAGCCAATGCCTATAAAGCACAACATTTTTCAGTCAAATACATATTTGTAGATTTTTCAAGATTTCAGCGCGAAAGAATATTCAAAGTAAGTTACCATGGTCAACAATATAGGGAACAAGCTACAAGTTGTCACTGAACAAATGTGCAAACATAAAACCAACTTTACTGCAATCTTTCACTACAGTAAAATCGTTATGAAAAGGAGACGCTAAAACGCTTAACGTGAAAAAAGCTTAACATGGTTTAATGTACCTAACATCATCCAGAGAAACCCTCATTTCTGTCAAACTGTGCTTGTAATTAACCCTAACTACTGTAAAAAGAACCAGTCCCAATTCCATAGATGAAGTGAAAAACATCACGTTAAGCATTTTTCCCCATTGAAGTCTAGGAAAAAGACTAACGTGGCTTAACAAAAAGCAAAAAAAAAAAAAACAAAAAAAAAAACAATTTCTATCAAATTTCACTTGATATTAACCCTAACTTTGATTTTATATACGTTAAGCCATTCCTTATTATGGACTTCTATAGGAGAGAAAACACCTAATGAGATATTGTTCACTTTATCTATGGAGTTAGGGCCTGTTCTTTTGATAATAGTTAGTGTTAATCACAAGTAAATTTTGTCAGAAATTTGGGCTTTCCTAGTCAGTGTTAGGGTACGTTAAGCTGTTTCCTTATAATGTAATTCTATGGTGAGAATGCTGTAATGGATAACAAATGTCATGGTTCGGATCCCACTTCGGTTTTTGAGTCATGGATTGGACCATTTTACGGAGTAGCAAAAAAGGGAGGAGACAAATGTCATTTGCTTTCCAGTTATACAAAAATATTACAGCAAAAACTATTAGTTTTAACAAACAAAACTTAGAACCTGTAGTTTTAATAAAAATAAAAAAAGGAAAATATTTAATACGGAAAATTATCTTTGCTGATAGTGTTAAATATAAGAATCTAACATCTTGTACAACATATCATATTTATTTTAAATTAATAATTCAACAATTCACACATAAAACTTGATGTTTCATTATAAGTGTATCATTTCTGAAAACCTATTCAGAGACATAGGCTGTTTCTCAATTCCAAGTACGCAGAGAATGGACTTGCGTTCTTGTGGAGACCGGTCTTGCCAGGTGTCCTCGGAAGAATGAATTCGGAAGGCCGCAAGAACAGAGAACGCGTCCTCTGAGAAATGAGATGCTGCGTTCTTCCTGATGGTCACGTGACCCTCACGGGTTTTAAATAGAAAATTATTTAAACATTACAGCATTCATACAACGATTTATTGTATTTTCCCATTTCAAAATATATACTATGCTTAAAAACATTATAAATATGCGTTTCACAATATAAATAAAACAGATTTTAATCAGATTTTCAGCAAACAAACAGCCTTAGGCCCAATCCCGATCCTATTTTTACCCCTAAGAATTTGGACAGCACTAAATCACCTGCACACATCATCATATGTCCTTGCAATCTCTTGCTTCATGCGAGTTTAGATGATGGCGACTACTGTAGTGATTCCAGTTGAGTTAATTTTTTGTATTTATCTTTAGGAAATCACTGAAGCTATACATTAAGCACAGTGGCCATATTCATTAATTTAAACACACCAAAAACAGCATTAAAATTATAGCAGACACTGTAAAAAGCCCATTCCCAGTCACTAGACTTTTCTGACAGGGTATTTGAGTGTCATTGAGTGTCAGAATGTTGTGGGACTGCTCTACAGAAGTTATTATTAGGGATTATAGATGGCGAAGTATAGCGGTTTGTATTTTAGCGATTTTTTGTTTTGTTTATATCTGATAATCTATAAACTGTTCTCCCAGTTCTTCTGTGTTATTTAATTGTTTGTAACTGAAAAAGTGTAAAAACTGAATCTCTCTCGATCAAACGCAGATTGGAACGCAGTGCTTAGAAAGATTAACAAACGCATGATGCAATCTCTCTGCTTATAAATGTTGGATTAACCTACAAGTCCAAAAAAGTAATTAACCCACATGTCACATAAGTTCCGAACCGTGAATTGTGATCCGTACGGATCACGGTTACACGTCTACTTAAAGTATTGTTGTTCACTATATAAACCAGAAGCTTGTTTTTTTTATTACAGCAGAAAGTGTTTATGCATATATTATTATAAACATTTGATTGTCTCAGAATGTTGTCAAGCTAAACCACATTAAGCTCTTATAATGGACTTCAATGGGGTTAAAATACTTAACGTCACATTGTTAACTTCATCCAAAAAAATTAGGGCTTGATCTTTTGCTAGTAGTTAGTGGTACAAGTAAAATGTCAAAGATTTTTGGTTTGCCCCACTTGTTGAGGTACATCAAACCATGTTAAGCTTTTTCCTTTTATAATTGACTTGAAGAGCATGGCGAAGCAGTGGCGCAGTAGGTAGTGCTGTTGCCTCACAGCAAGAATGCATTTCTTGGAGGAGTTTGCATGTTCTCCCTGCATTCGCGTGGGTTTCCTCCGGGAGCTCCGGTTTACCCCACAGTCCAAAGACATGCTGCAGGTGAATTGGGTAGGCTAAATTGTCCATAGTGTTATGAGCGTATGAGGGTGAAAGGCCCAGGCGACAGGCCGGCCGGAATGTGTAAAAAAGTCGTTATCAAGTCTAAAATAAGTCTAAAATAGCTTGTTCCAAAGAGCCGACCCCGCAACCATATGGGACTAAGGCCAAAGAAGAAGAAGAAGAAGAATGGACTTGAAGAGCATATCATAATTTTTCACTTACGAAAATTAGAGGTCATTCTTTTGACAAAAATAAGAGAAAGGCTTTGTCTTGAGTAAAATTTTACAGAAATTGTATTTTCTTTACTTGTTTAGGTACATTATGCCACGTTAAGCTTTTTCCTTATAATAGACTTCAATGAGGAGAAAACGTTTAACGTGATGTTCCTCACTTTATCTATGGAATTGGGACTGGTTCTTTTTACAGTAGTTAGGGTTAATTACAAGCACAGTTTGACAGAAATTTGGGTTTCCCTGGTACTGGAGTAAAGTTGGTTTTATATTCGCACATTCAGAGTTTCTCCTTAATAATATAATATCAGAAATGTACTCTTTGCTAATTCTAAATAAGGAAATCATATTAACAGTCAATGACTATACATTGTTCACACTCTCAGTCTATTAAATAGTGCTAATGTTGTTTTAAAGTCATACTTTGATGCGATTTCATATCGAATATTCAAAGTCAAACAATATAGGGGGCGTTAAAATGAACGAATATGCGAATATAAAACCAACTTTAACAGTTACCTCAATTTCTCTGGTCTAGTTACATTAAGCCACGTTAAGTTTTTTTTATTCAATTTCAATTCATTTCATCTTTACTTCCATAGCGCTTTTACAAAGTAGATTGTGACAAAGTAGCTTCACATAGAAGATGACTCAGGTTGAGCATTTAAAAATGTCCCCAGAAAATACATTTGGTTTTGAAACTACAACTTTAAAGCTGAAATGTCCTTTATCCGCATTTTGTTAAACACTCACTTGTGGAAGAAGAAATTACACTAAGAACTGATACATATTCCTTTGGCTGCACTAGTTGTGCTATTATTTTTAAATTCAAATGTTTAATAGCAATAATTGAACAATTATTACACGTTATTCGGTTTGGTACTCACCAGGCAGCCGTAGGTCATAACAAGAACAACATTTACTCCCGAAAGATGCGTTCCCATTGTGTGGCTTTTTTAAAATGTAATAAAAAGAAGCTAACGTTACTGCTCGTTACTGTGGATGAATTGTAAAATTAGGCTGGTTCTTATTCAGGTTGACAGAGGCATTTTCGGGAGAGTTTTTTTGTTGACATCTCGCCTGTGGTCTCTTCGTCGGGTGTTTTAATGGGAAAAATCTTCCGCCTAACGTTACTTCTTTGTCGTCACCTGGTGGTCTGGCATAAATAGCGCAACCACATTAGAGACCACCAGTTTAAACCATCTCCAATCCATTTTATAAAACACTGGGTGTTATTCACTAAAAAAAACTAGGTCAGTAGGACTATATAGTAATAATCAGTAGTAGATGTAGTATAATAATAGTAATATCTAGGTCACGAGAATGCATGTTGCAAATCAGGTCAAATTTACTGTTTTATTTAAAAAATGTAAATATGTATTATAATATAATGGGAATCATATTAAAAATAACCTTTAAAGCCACAAAAGATATTTTGTTTACTTTCTGAATTAATTTATGTTTTTAACAGTCCAGACCATCCAGACAGAGGTTTACTTGTTTGTTGAACTACATAGGGTTGAACTATGGTTGCATTCGTAATGTAAATCGTCGCACTCTTTACACTTTACTACCACCTACTGGAAGTTTTAGATTCTTATTTTGAGGATTATTTTCATTTTAAAAGTCTAAAAACTCTAATCTTTAAAATAAACAGATACTTTACACACACAAAATAATTCTGTCATAATTAACACACTTCTGTGCCATTAAATCTATATGAATTGCTTTGTATTGATTATTATTTCTAAATGTTTTTTTTTTTTTCACATTTAACACAATGATGAATTGAAATCTTCTTTTGTGGTCAATTTTATAATCATTAAACATGGACTTTTCTCAATCATTTGTATTAATTCAATTCAGAATAACCAATATTAACTTTTAAGTGGTCACTTATTTCCCCAGGGCTGTAGGTATTGTTGGATGAAATAATCCATTAATTTCCACCATGTGCTTCATTTTTACTACAAATATCTATTTTTAATTAAGGCAATTAATAAACATTTGACCTATAAATATTTAATTCTTAATGTCTGCAAGATTTAGTGCGCGTTATATAAATATTCCAAAGAGCTAAAAAGTAGCTTGCATTGTAAGTTTATATATATATATATATATATATATATATATATATATATATATATATATATATATATATATATATATATATATAT